TTTGTTGTTTAAAGGTTTAACTTGTTAATATAATTTTTGCTTCCATCATGCATTGACATTAATAAATATGCCATTACCAAAGATACCCCCAAATTGGAGCAAACATAGACAGAATTTCATTTTGAGATATGATTTAAACCTACATTTGAATGCATTCATGAAAATAATAAACTGCTCCCTCTTATATTCTAACCCCATATATCTCCTCTGATTCCAGGACAAAACATAGTAAGTGTGGACTGATGCAAAAGAAATCAATATAAGCAGCCACTTTTCACTGTCTACGAACTGTACATGGTACCTATTTTCTTGAAAAAAATGAACACCTAGGTACAAACAGGTACCCAAGTACAAACAAACAATCTCTACACTACACCTCAAAATTAGTTGATATTTGTGTAAATTCATGCATTGGATAGAGGAATGAGATCTAGGAGGAAATGCCACTTGCCACTGACCAGAATTAATATTCTGATTGTGTGATCTATTTTATTACTATGAATGTATCTTACATTGTAATTGGAATTTCTTTTTGCAATGTTAATATTTATACAAGGTTCTTCAATATCTTCAAAGGCCTTGATCATGAAAGAATTCAATACTGCTTCAAATTATCTTTCACATATTACACTGATCATTTTGAGGCCATCTCTATCATTATTCTGCTAACTGACCTGCTTTTTATCACCAACAAAACTTTCAAGTAACTTGATTAATCCAATCCTGTTCCCCCCTTCATTCAAAACCCCCTCTGTCCCTAAAAATGAGGGCTATGCCCTTGTAATTTAATGAGATATTTCAAGGAACTCATAATGTAGTTAATACATTTTTGCTTTTATTGCTAGGAAACAGGACCAAACGTTGAGGAACTACCCACGCAGATGGTTTGTGTCGCGTCTTAGTTGACTAGTCCCCCAATGGAGAAATGAATGATCCCCACAACCTCAAGTCAGGATCACTGAGCACCGCCTCCAACTCAAGCTAGAGCTTTGCCTTACTGGGAAGGCAGAAAGAACAGTTTGCCGGTCCCGTACTGGATCAACTGGGCATTCAAAGTTGGAGAAGCCGCTAGCCAAGCAGGCCAAGCGGCGTTTAATGAAGACGGCACAATCAGCCTGTTTCGGCGGTCTCGCGCTGTATCAACCAGGCTGGGGGTAAGCCGCCGTTTGTTTCTCTATGTGGCGCGCCCTTCTCCGGTGTAAAGCCAATGGACAAGGTACGAATCCACTCCGGATGACCAACTAGTCAAATGGTCTGTGACCTTAGCATTCAGCGCTGCTCCAATATTTCTTTGTTCTTTGACCGGAAGTTTAAGCCGGGCTGGGTGATTGTGAAGAGGCGGCAAGATAATACTTGTGGCCGGGTCTGTGCCTTGACGTGCCAGATTGGTAGCAACAGCCATCTTCTTTGGCCGACCAATTACGACTCGCCAAATGCCCCTTCAGCCAAATTTTCATCGTGTCATTGAGATCTGACCCGCTAGTACCACTGTTGCGTCGGTCTAGGAAGAAAACTTCAAGGGTTTTGGATTTGCCAGCTAAAAGTCCCAGCTATTGCGCTGATAAACCCGGTTTGAAATGAAATATCCCACTTTCAGCCATCTTGAGATGGCTTCCTCCAGTTCTGACTGATGACCGAGCTACTGGAATGGATAGCGGGTATTTTGATAATACCTGGGTGGAAAAGGTAGTCACTATCTCGTGTATCATCACTATATAAGGAGCTATCATGAACCCCACCAGTACCAATCATCCTCCATCCAAACATTTCCATAATTCAGCCTTCCAGCTCCAAAACAGTCTCCAAAAGATTCAATTCCAATTCCGCGCTCATCATCCACATCAATCAATTCCCAAGAATCATCAGAAACCTCCAACCAAGTCTAACTATTTATCAAAACTAACGCATCTTTTGTGATTTTTCTCCAGATGATGGCCAACTCCCCCAAATCTACCTACTTTTCTTTCCCTTCCTACGAAAGTCACTTCATCACTGAAGTGGAAGAGGCACCCACTCCAGCCACCGCAACACTCTCCCAAAAGGCACTTGAGCCGATGATTGATTGTTCCGCTGAAGCCTACCCCATCATCCAGCGGGATTCTCACCTGGAAGCCGAAATCGAACTGATCCTTTACCTGAATGCCCCCAAGAAACCGGCCTCATTATTCTCAGAGTCATCGTCGTCCAACAGTTCTATCCTCTCTACTTCTTCTTCGATCATCAGATCCATCAGAAGCTTGTGGCGATTTGGTTAAAACTGATGATAGAAAGAAAGCCCGACTTCCTCATTACAATCATCAATCCTTCTAATTCACGGATACAGACGGTTCCCCAGAGCTCTCAAGGCACTCACCCGATCATCTGAATGGAGCTCGTAGCAGGTATCTCCAAAAAATCACAGCCTACTCTTTCAGCCTGCCAACACCCTATCTTTGTCTCTCCGAGTTCAAAGGCTAAACCATTCATCCAAGACTCAAGAGGAAAAACAAAAAGGCATCGACTTGTCTTTTGACCGCACCGCCCGAAGTCTGTCCCTCGACTGAGAGCTAATACAAAACAATCGGCGGAAGTGTCAACAAATCATTATCTGGATGGCCCTTCGATACCTCATTTGGGTTCAACTCTCAGCTTCGTCCTCAGCAATACTAGTTCACAGTACGATCTTTCCAATCCAACCCATGAAGCAGTTCATTCCAAGCCAATTATCCAAGGATCGAATCATCAACTTTCTCCTGAATCATCAGTTTTTTCAATTATCAGTTTCGACTCGCATCATCAGTTTCTCTTGAATTATCAGTTATCAGTGTCTCTTGAACTATCAGTCTCTTGAATTATCATTGTCTCATGAATTATCAGTATCTCCTTATTCTGTATCACAAATCAAAACCTCTTTTGCACTAAACAAATCAACATCTGTATTACTTTTCTGTTCAACTCATTAAATTCACAATCACCTCATCAAATCAACAAACTCAACTCATCAATCAGTCTCTGTTTTATCTGTCGAATGCATCTCATCTTTATTTTCTTTCATCTCTTTCTTTTCATTTCTTCCTTTGCATCTCTCTCTTGAAGTCTTCATTTTTTTGTAATCTTCTGACCACCAATAAAAAAAATACACCTCTTTTGATGATTTACCCGCGTCAATGTGAGCTATGTTTGTTCAATTTGGTTCATTTGACTTTCCAATGAGCCCTGGCAGATTGTGATACCTTGCAAAAAAGTGAACTTTGATCCTGAATTTTTTTTTCTTCAAGCTCCGGTTGTGTTTTGTTGCGCCCCAGTCAAATGAAAGGTGAGTTCTTTCGTACTCTGTATATTGAAAGCAAAAAATACGATGCTTGTCATGATGATGTAGTTGCCAACATGATATAAGGGATCACGCCTCGAAGAAGGCGTGTTGTCGCGTATTCATTGACTAGTGCCCCGACGGCAACTTTGAATGATCGCAAGACAGGATCACTGAGTACCACCTCCAAGCTAGAGCTTTGCCTTACTGGGATTGGAAGGCAGAGTCAACACTGTTTTCCGGTCCTGCACTTGATCAACCAGGCATCCAGAGTCGCAGAAGCCGCCGGCCAAGTAGGCCGAACGGCGCAATGTAGGAACAACTTGAACCAGGTTGCTGTTGAGCCACCGTTCTCAATGTACAAGGAGCAAATCCACTCCGGATGACCAGCTAGCGGTATTTTCTTGTTACGTAGTCTGCAGCCATAGGATTCAGCGCTGCTCCGATATTTCTTTGTCCTTTGACCGGAAGTTTAAGCTGGGCCGGGTGGTTGTGAAGAGGCGGCAAGATAATGCTTGTGGCCGGGTCTGTGCCCTAACTTGTACCAAGTCCCGCGCTTCTGCGGGCCTGGTGACCTGGGCTGGCTGGCGCCACTCGCGAAGCGAGCCTCCGAAGGAGGGACTTGTGACAAATACGCACAAGCTTGCGTGTCGCTATCGACATGTTTTGGTGTAGCGATTTTTAGATCAGCCACCATGCATGTAGTTTTGGTTTTTTGGAAGGCAAAGTCAACATGGTCAAAGGTGACCATGTTGCCGATCTCTCATCAAATTTTCAGGGACTTGTCCTGAAATCTGGATGAGTAAGATTTTTTTGAAAAATATGAAAAATTGAAGTGAATCAGAATTAAAGTTGAGCTCCAAGCCTTGAGAAGCTATTACATAAGCAAAAAACCCAAATTTGAGCGGATTCTTGGACATTTACAAAGTTTCCCTAGAATGTAGTTGTACATGTTTCTGGGTAATTTCTTGATGAAAATTTACTTTGGCATCTGGGATACATTGTGCCAGATTTTTCCTCTATGAAAGTTAAGAAAGCGATTTATTAGAATTTTCCGCACAAAAAACACTCAAAACTGGCCGAAAGCGACACGCGGGCGTGTTCGTTTTTGGCACAAGCCTCTCCCGCACTTCGTGCGTTCGACGGAGAGGCTGGGCAAGCTAGGTCTGTGCCTTGATGTGCCAGAGCGGCAACACCAGGCAGCTTCTTCCGCCGACCAATCACGGCTCGCCAAACAGCCCTTTGGCCAAAATTGCCTCATTTCGTTGAGGCCTGACCGGCTAGTACCACCATTCAGTCGGTGCAAGATACTCTGATATAATCCAGCTAGAAACACCAGCTCTGGCATCGTTAAATCCAGTTTGAGATGAAATTATTCTTACTTTCAGCCATCTTGAGATGGCGTTCCCCAGTTCTAACTGATGGCCGAGCTACGGGAATGAGTAGCGGGTATTTTGAAAATACCTGGGTGGAAACGGTAGTGACTATATCTCGTGGAGAATAATCAGTATATAATGAGGTATTATGAACCCCATTGGTACCAATCATCCTCCATCCAATCATCCCACCACCTTCACAACGCAGCCCTCCAGCTCCCAAAGATTCAATTTCCTCATCCACCTCAACACATCCTCCAAAAACTATCCAAAACCTCTCCAACCAAGTCTAACGTTATATCAAAACTAACGCGTCTTTTGTGATTTTTCTCAAGATGATGACCAACTCCCCCAAATCCACCTACTTTTCCTTCCCTTCCTACGAGAGTCACTTCATCAGTGAAGTGGAAGAGGCACCCACTCCAGCCACCGCAGCACTCTCCCAAAAGGCGCTCGAGCCAATGATTGATTATTCCGCTGAAGCCTACCCAATCATCCAGCGGGATTCTCACTTGGAAGCCGAAATCGAACTGATCCTTTACCTGAATGCTCCCAGAAAGCCGGCCTCATTGTTCTCAGAATCCTCTTCTTCCAACAGTTCTATCATCTCCACTTCGTCTTCGATCATCAGATCCATCAGGAGCTTGTGGCGATTTGGTTAAAAATCAAGAAAGAAGGCCCGACAAACTCATCATAAACGACAAGTCCTCCAACTCACAGACATCGACGGTCCACAAGAGCTCTCAAGGCACTCAACCTTACATACCGGGATCATCTGAATGGAGTTCGCAGCAGGCATCTCCAAAAGATCAAAGCCTCCTCTTCCAGCCTTCCAACACCCTATCTTCGCGTCCCCGAGTTCAAAGGCTGAACCATTCATTCAAGACTCAAGAGCAGAAATAAAAAAGCAGCCATTTGTCTTTTGACCGCGCCCCCTCAAGTCTGTTCCTCGACCGGGATCCAAAACAAAATAACCGCCACTCTCAGTTTCGCCCATCAATACCAGTTTACAGTGTGGTCTTTCCACTTCAACGCATCAAGCACTTCATTCCAAACCAGTCATCCAAGCCTCGAATTATCAATTTTCTCTGCAATCATCAGTTATCAGTTTTCCCTCAGTTCATCTTGAATCATCAGTTATTAGTGTCTTTTGAATCACCAGTCTCTTGAATTATCAGTGTCTCTTGAATTATCAGTGTCTATTGAATTATCAGTGTCTCTTGAATTATCAGTTTTCTCTTGAATAATCAGTTCTCTCTCGAATAATCAGTTTTCTCTTCAATTATCAGCTCCTCTCGATTCCGAATCATCAGCAGCTCTTTATTCCGCAACATCATCCAAACCCTCTTTCGCATTCAACAACTCTTCCCGGACACCTTTGTTTGGACAACCCATCAAGTTCACATTACCAAACCCACAAAACCAACTCACCAGTATCTGTTTTTATATCCGTCGA